ACCTATCCCCGATCTCGAGAACGTGAGGCAACAGCCAGCGAATCTAATTTGTATCTCGAGAGAATAATCTTCGTTCAAAAGATTATCAACATCTGAAACCGTGAAAACCGTTCGTCCAAGGAAGCCCGCTCGGATAATCCAGCTGAAAGCTTCCCTCGCCGATCCGCGGCGAGTTCGAAAACAATTTGCCCCGCTGAAAATTTCGCTTTTCGCAGTTCGAAAACCCCAATCCCCCATCGAGCTCCGCGTTTTCTCTCCTCGCCGTCGAACGAAACTTTCGCCCATTAAGCTTCCTTCGTTCCCTTTCCTCCCCTTCCAAGTAACGTGTTCCCCGTTTTTCACCGAAATTTCGAGCGGCTTTAAATCGAATCTCGCTGGTTAACACATTACAAATGCTCCCAGGGCTCGTACATTTTTAGAGCAAAACAGGGAAACTTTGTACAACTTTGCATATGTGCACTTCTTCAATTCACGTTGATAAAATATTCTTAAATATTACTGTATATTCTTTGTAGTAATATTGTTATATATCATTTATAGTAATATTTAAGTATCTATTTATTATGTATTTTAGATTTTAATTATCATTTATATTAACACATTGAGGTCGGTATGCTCTGATAAACACATAGCCTGTATTTTCTCGTGCTTTTTGAATTATTTGACTGAAAGGGTTCGAGAGAATGTATAGCATTTAACAATTGTATTATTTTATTAATAATTAAAATTATTAATTATTTTTCATTTTAGAGGTATTTTATTAAATGAAATGGAAATACCTCTAGTTTCTTGGTGTGGTATGTTAGGAAACGATTTCCCTACTTCTTGAAAAATTATACAACATTATAATAATTATAAACACAATATAATTATATATTATATATAATATTATATAATTTAAATTATAATATATAATATAATATTATGTAATATTACGTTATATAATATAATATAATATAATATATTACGTTATATAATATAATATTACGTTTCGGAAACAATTGGTATGTTTGGAAACAATTTCCCTATTTCTTGAAAAATTATACAACATTATAATAATTATAAATACAATATAATTATATATTATATATAATATTATATAATTTAAATTATAGTATATAATATTATATAATATTACGTTATATAATATAATATTACGTTTCGGAAACAATTGGTATGTTCGGTAACAATTTCCCTACTTCTTGAAAAATTATACAACATTATAATAATTATAAATACAACATAATTACATATTATATATAATATTGTATAATTTAAATTATAATATATAATATAATATAATACAGATTATAATATAATGTAATATAATATAAATTATACACAAAAAAGCGTTCCCCGTTCGCAACGTTGAAAACCGAAAGACGCGAATTCGCGTCTACCGTCCACAATGTGGTGTTAAGCAACGATCTCTCCTCTCTCCTCTTGTCTCGTCACTCACGACAGAGTTATACCGAACCGTCTATACGACGCGCGTTATCGCCGATCTTCACGTGGTTTTTTTTCCCTCTCCTCGGTCCGGTGCAGCCTCGATCCCGTCGGCGGCTCGAAAGCAGCGCAGTCGATCATCGATCTCTCGCGGAGGATCGCGCGTCACGGTTCTCCGTCAACGCGGCGAGAAGAAAAGAAAAGTTGTAGACCTGCGTCGCGCGTCGAGAAAGAAAGGAACGTGAATAATGGCGGAAACATCGTGGAAATTGTCGTAAGATCGAACGATAAGGGCACGACCCACGATGATTGAACGATATCGATTCCACGTCGATCGCGATATCGCGTGTTAGCTCTCTGGTTCCTGCGGGAAGGCGGTAGAATTTTCGGCAGAGCTCGTGACCTGCTGCATTCTATCGATTCGTCGCCGATCAACACGCCGGTTTTCAGTGCCGCGGTATTTCTTCTTACTGGCGTTGTTAAATACGTGACCGTGGTGAATTATCGGGGACGCGAGGGTTGGATCTCGCCGTGCAACAAATCACGATGTAACCCTCGCTTGGCAACCTGTACTTGGCGATCGTTGGTACCGCGCCAGCGGCCACGAAAGAGCGAGAGAGACGACTCTCCTCTCCATTCGTTCTTTCTCTCTCTCTCCCCTTTTCTTTTTTCCTTCTCGCTCCCGTTTTCCATTCGCCTCCACCGTGAATTTCGTCGCGTAACACCGACGGGAATTATTGCGTAAACGCGGTTTGCCGATTTACGCCGATCCTCGGAATTTCCTGCATTCAGGCTTCGTTTAGCCACTCGCTCGGAGGAGAGTGACGGTGGCGACGAGCGAGTGGAAAATAAACGAAAGAGGCGGAAAAGGCTGAAGCGCGTCGGACGAGAATGAAGGAGAAACGGAACGACGTGAATCGAAGTAGCTCAATTTGGTTGATTAAATTGGCCTCGGTTTACGTCGTTGTGCCGTCGTTGAGTTACTCGCCGAGCTAATTCCAGCAACGCCAGCATGGTTTGTCCGCGTTAACGCGTACCCCTGCCTTTTTTTTCTTTTTTTCTTTTTTTCGCCGGTTAAACTAATTTCTCTCTCCGTCGCCGGCCCTCCTTTTTCCCCTCTTTTTTTTTTTCCTTTTCTCGTCCGTTTCGAATTTCCCACGACGAGTCTCGTCTCTCGGATGGAATGGGTCAGAGCCAACGACGATGTCCACGTATGCGTATGCATACGGTGGGTTTCAGATCGTTGCAGGGACATCCCGGGATGCACTGAAACTGGGGTGAATCACGTCAGGGGTGTGTTTCGAGAGATCTTCCCGGTTGAGATTAGGGTAATATGATCTTGCGGACTGTCAGCTATTCCGTCAGCTGGCAATTTGGACGCCAGACACTCGTCCAGGATGACGGTACGAGGGAATTTTGTCCCCGGGTCGTGCGGAGAGGTAAATGGCCCGGGATATTTAATATAAAATTCGCTGGCTTTCAAACGAACGTTTGATGGAGAATTTCGTTGCCGAAATTGTCAAACGTCAGTTGTGACGAAAATTGCAAATATCCCGATTAATTGGAGGAACACAGGAGTAGTTGCAGAGTGGAAATGGGGGGGAATGGTGACTTTATTAAAAAAGGAAACGCGATATTTTTTTTTTAGAGACTTTGAAACTCTCGGCAACTGAAAGCCAACTAGATTTTTTTGAGCTCAGGTTGTGATTAGCTATCGCGAAACTTTTAATGACAAAGTTATTTATTTTGATAACAAAACTCGTGTGCAGCACGAGAGGCATTGAATTACACTGTTATAAATTACCCATTACTACGGTGTTTTCGTGATTTTCGGGTATTACAGCTTTATTCGTATTCTTATTAACGCTCCCGTTTCGCAAATTAATATCGAGGGTGGTTATTCACCCTCGGTAAAATGATAAATGTATGGTAATATATGGTGAAAGTTGGGAACGACGTTAAATTAGACCGATATTAAAATGGCAGTCTATTAAATTCGGGGACAAAATGACGTCCGCTAATGGACATCATTTAAAGTCATCCCGCGAATTGACGCACGGTGAATAGGGATTGATATTCAAACTTTAAACCGGTCACAAAGGGTCGTTTAATTCCGGAATCCGAATCTGTCAAGCGGAAGCCTCTGATTAGTAACTGTTGACCATTTACCATGATATTTGCCCAAATTTCCCGAGGAAAGAGCGGAATACATTCCCGGCAATAAATCGGGACAACGCTCTTTTCTCGATGCTATTCGATATTCCGCGTTCGATACCTATTCTTTTTTTTTTTTTTCATTTTTTCCCCTCGTTTCGTTTTTCATTTCACGTTTAATTACTTTGATATCGCCAAACACAATCGTCGAAAATTATACGGCTCGAAACACACGGGCTTGGAAGTTTACTTGAAAAACAGCGGTAATAAAACAATCGGACAGAATTCAACGTATGATTTGATTAATAAAAGCAACACGGTAATAAACGATATCAAACGTTTTAAGAGCTCTGTTTGGTTCATCAATAAGGATTTGATTGAAACCAATTTGATTCCGATTTGTTTTCCAATGATTCTCTACTTCCCGGTGACCTAGTGCGTTGGTATACTGATATCTTTTTTCATATTAAATCTCCTTGATATTGTTTCTGTTAAATTAAAAATGGGTGCCCTTCTTTTAAACTTTATGAAATTTCAGTCCATCGCCACATCCATCTCTGAAGATGATAGTCTTCACTTGAAGAAATCTTATTTGACACGATCTACGAATAATATCAAAATTTAGAAGTTTTAAACTTTTAGCTTCGAAATGATAGTAGCATGGCAATGATAATTGAACCTAGATTGCTGCACGGTGTAAATTTCGCGTTCGAAGAGCCTCTTACGTCGCAAAGCGTCTGGAAACGAAATTCAAATAGCGACAATTCTGAATAGCAAAATTAATAAAATTAACGGTCGAATGTAACAAGACGCGGCCGCAGCTGGACGTCTCACGTCAACCTCTGACAGCTTAATCTCTCTGATAAGTTAATTGCGTGCACGTCAACGATTTCCACGCTTCCTCTCTGATCTCCGCTTAAATGGAGACTGTAAAAGACGAGAGAGAGAGAGAGAGACGGGAGTAAACAAAAGACAAAGGAACGAAGCTTCCGGGAACTCCGGACAGTTCCTTTCAACTTTGTACAATTCTTTACGATCCTTTATATCCAGGTTTCGCCGGGCGAAATAATATTCCCTCGATCGGCCTAGCCCCTCTCTCTCTCTCTCTCTCTCTCACTCTCGGCGAACGTGGCGCTTAATTTCCCTCCGCTGATAAGCGTCAGAATCCCTGGGCGAGAGGATTCTGTCGAGGAAATTTGCGGGAAATTCACCTGTGACGTATTCTGGATTTCCTCGCGCTTGTGCGGCGCTATGGAGGTGGGATAATAGCGAGAGAAAGGGTGGGAGTCCAACCTCCGAACGTTTTTCCGCCGATCGAGCCCCCACCCCATTAAATTCCACAACGTATCACCGAGCCGATCATTATTTTCACCGTTCCTCTCTCTCTTTCTGTTATGCAGTTTCCACGAAGGCTTTGGCAAGCGCCAAGACACTGGGCGGATTCCTGTACAGCGCAGTGAACAAGGCTGGAAAGACCGTGGCCGAGGCCGGCGCAAAGATCAAGAAGACCGTCGAGGAGAACGTGAGTTCGAATTCTTTTCACTTTGCAAACGTTTCATCTCGATGAATGCATTGTCGAGCTGTGTTCGAAAATTTTCGGGAGCCGACACTGATCGACTCTGGTTCCTCGTTTCATTTTACGTACGGACCGGGGCAGATGCAGCGTTGAGAGCTACTTTCTTCCTTTTTTTCTTTCCTTTCTTTTCGAGACTTGTTGCAAATGTCAACTTCAAATTTTCAAATGTTAAATTTAGTTTATGTAGAAACATTTCTTGAGGGTGCAAAAGGACCATTTTTTTCTTTCTTTCTCTATTTTTCGATCGGCACGACAGATGAATTTTTCAACATTCAAAAGGATGTTGTCAGATTTAACGACTTTTTGTCTGAGGCATTCTTTTTTATTCAAGCATTCACAGTTAAATCTTACTTAGCGATGAATAAATTTCTTGGCGACTTCGGAAATCTGTTTTCCATCGGTTTTTCCTGCACCTTTGGTAACAAAAATCGTCGGATCACTGACGCGCAAAAGTTTTTTCTTTCCTCCCGTCATATTTTCACATTATATATACATATATATGTATACATGCAATGCGATGCAAGGAAAATACGACGAGATGAAAAAAGAAACATTGCATTGAAAGTACAAAAGAATATAGAGAAACGTAGAAACGGATAAAGATAAATAAATAGATATTTGACGAAATGAAAGTATTTTTCCAGTGTTGCCTTTGAAAAAAGTATGCATCGCTATAAGCTTTTAACTATTCGGAATAAAAAAACAAAGTGTTCCAAATAAAAATTGTTAGATTCGACAGCAGCTATCGAGGTAAAAATTAATATTTCATTCAAAAAAAAAAAAAAAAAAATTAGACATGGCATCATTCTCACTTTTACAAAACTCACGCAAAAAAACTTTAAAATATTAGTCCTTTTGCATCAATACCAGAAACTTTCAAATTGATACCTGCAATGACTTTCGAGTGAAAATAGCTCGTGACACTTTATCTGCTTCGTCATGTAACATATGTATAAATACTTTATTGTTAATCAACAATACTGGTAAATATTTCTGTTAACCAGTAAAGTTTTAAAGAACAAATGTCTTTCATAAGTTTACTTATTGCAAGAATATGACACAGAGATGCAATAAAGAATGTAGAGATAAAAGATGTCAGATAAATTTAATAAAAGCGTCAATTTTCTGTTTTCGACATACGAAGTTGATCAATGCGACTCCCGACCCATTCAAGGTATAGAGAGCAATTAATAATCTCATGTGAGATATACGGAAGACAAGTTGATCGACATTATTAATTCATTATTCCTTTATCAATCGAGATTTCTCAAGTCTGACATGCGAAACTGAGATTCTGAACAGCCGATATTATAAACGTGACAATTTGACAGATAATCTTCAGTCGCTTGTCTTGCGTTTTGTAACATTTTCATTCACACGCGAAACGTTTGACTTTGATATATATGTATATATATAAAAAACAAAAGGCAGATGTTTTCTCTGTTTTTTGCAAAATTTACACGTTCGTGGTTCTGTCGTACAGAGTCGACAGTTTTATCCTTTATTCCTTTATACGCAAAATACCTAAGCATACGGAGAGAAAGCGCCGTCCGAGCACAGAATTTTTGACAAATTGAATGTCACTAATTCGACGAATCGCCCGCATCGGAAATAATAAATGGCATTTGTCACAAGCGATTTTTACATTACATTTCAATCGTAATTCGCGGAGAAATCCTTTGAGAAAATCGCGTATCTCGCGATTCAGCGGTCAGAAGGGGGAGTAAAAAAGTTCTCTTTCGCTCGTCTGACCGAAGTTCCCCGTTGTCGTTGAAATTAATCGAACGGGGTGGAGAGGGAGAGGAAAGAGAGATGAAAAGAAAGATCAACGTATCCATCGAGCTTGTCTCAAAGGAAAGGAGGGAGCGGAGAAAAAATGCAAATCGCCGACTTTGCAGTTGTGCACGCTGTCAGAAACGGACCAGTTGAATTTCACTTCCACGCACGAGCCTATTTCTTCCTCCATCTCTTTGTTTTCCAGTTCTCCCCCTCTTTTTTTCTCCTTCAAATGTGGCATAAATTTTTTCCGATAATTGCGATAATTCCGATAATAAGACCGTTTGTTCAGAGACTAAACTAGCTATTTTCCCTCTGCCTTTCGCTTCTTTGTCTCTCCCCGTTATCTTCTTTTTTCTCTCTCCCTCTCTCTGCCCGTCTTCCGGTCGTTATTCGGAATTAATTGAACGAAGTTACGCGATCCGACGACTAGCTGCCGTTGAACCGTGGATAATTGGAAAACGCGTTTCGTCTTATTTCCGCCCGGTGAATAAATCTCTCTCTCTCCCCCTTCGCCCCCCTGCCCCCCCTGCCCCCTCCCTACGAGTAGAAAATAATTTCCGCGTGTCAGAACGCTAGAATAAGTCCGCGCGTCGAGAGATCCTTTAGATCTCTCTTTATGCTGGCTCGCTCTTTGTTATAGAGAGGAGCTCTAATGTTAACGTTCGCGTACAAGAGTGGCAGTTCGGCTGCCGGATAATTAATCCGTCAGGAACGTGTTCAGGTGAAACGCGATGAAATGGCCGGGGTCGTCCGATAACCCGGTCCGATTACAATCCGAAAATCAATTTACTTATAATACAGTTTGTCGTTTGTCGCTGTTTCTACGCGTTTCTAGGCGTAACAACATTTCGGGTGGAAATGGAACGGGCACGAACGATTTGTTGATTTAATTTCATTTCGCCGTGTCGACTGTGGCAAAGCATCGTGATCGCCGCACACGCGATAATTGTCGACTTATATCGCGGCACGGTCATTCACGGCGTACGTGGAATTAGAATAAACTGATGCCCCGAGATAAAAAAGGGGGAAAACGATGGATTCGGCAGCTTGGATTCAATATTCAAAAATATTCAATATCGCGGAGGGAACCGTGGATTACCTCAGGCGAATTCTTCCTCGCCTCGGGCCTGGATGGGCCAACGACGCGTGCTCTATTAATATTTATTCCCTGCGTGACCTGTTTTCGACCCGGGGAGTAACGTACCCTGGGAGTGCAAGAGGCGTTCGGGTCAAACGCGTTATTTTTAAAAAAAATTTCCCGGTTTTAATTTCTAAATTTAATTACCTGGCTGCTATGTTCTTTGTTGCTGCGCTGCTGTCAAAGAGTTAATTTCAAACACACGCCTAAAACAAAAAAAAAAAAAAAGGAGCGGGGGGGGGGGGCGGAGGGAAAATAATAGCGAGCAGAATGAAGGATCGGTGTTAGGAAATAGAAAATCACGCGGGTCTGTGAACGCGAAACGTTCTGAGTTGACAAAAAAAAATAAAAAAAATATAAAATAAAATGAAATAGGAGAAAAAACAGGAGCGCGAAACGTGCGCGGAAATTTTTATTAAAAAACTCTCTCTCCGTTGTGCGTGTGGCGGGTTCATTCGCCCTCTTTCACCCTGCAGCTTATTGGTATTTATACGATAGGAAATATCCGTGTACCACGATAGCGCTGCACGCCGCGAGAATCCGACTCGCGAATAGAGATATGTCATTTCCAATGCGTACAATGCACTCGAAAGACGAAACGGAAACGCAGGACATATCCTCCCTTCCTCACCGTCCGCGAGAGGAAGCCATCGAACGCATTCCTAAGCGTCGCTTTTAGAAAGATTTCTCCGATCCTCTCTCTTTCGCGTCTCCCCAACCCTTTGTGCCCAAGCCGGTGATTTTTCCGCCGGTGAATGCACGTATCCTCAACTTTGGTAACACGATCTCTTCCTCATCTTCTTCTTTTCGGTCCTTGCCCGTGTGTCAGTCTACTTACTAGTAAGTACAGGAGAATTTCAGCGGGATTCTTCGAGTCGCTGCTGCTGATCTCCGTGCCTTCTTTTGCATATTTCGAGCACTGTGGATTTGATTCGCGAACGGAACCCCGGAGGATGCCCGCCGGGGCTGGTGGAGCTTTGCCCTGTCGTTTTTTGTATGTTTTATTTCAACCATTTTATGCAGGTCAGTCGAACGGAAATTGAAACGGGAATATCAAACGAGAAACGATGTTTATTATTCACTCGTGTTTCTGTCTCTCCGGTTTTTTCCTTCTTTTTTTTTTCTTTTTTTTTCTCCCCATGCATGTATATGCAAAAGTGTTTGACCGATAAAAATGGCAAGCTTGTTTTCGATATTCGTTTGAAGCACTGGAAAATATTAAAAGTCAATCGGGGGGAAACGTAGTGAAATGCGCTCGAAATTGGAGAGATTGAAATAACATATAGCGAGGCGTTTGAATACATATTTTGAATGTACGTACGAATCACGCGTGTACGTTGCGTGAGACACATTTTGATAATTCGTTGATACTGCGATTGTGGAATTCCGCGCTTGTTAAATGGTGGAGAATGTTCTCCGAAATTTTGTATATTCTTTCACTTGGAAGTAGATGTACCAATGACTCAACATATTTACTTGGGAGATATACTCAGCAAATAATCAGTGTACAACTGATATAAAGAAATAAACAATCTTCGATCGTGCCACAGTGCTAATCGTCTCGCTAACTAGGATGATAATTCGGATTTTATGTATCTGAAAATTTTTCTCAACGTCACTAAAGAACACTCTATTCTAATATCTACTCTAATATTTTATTCAGATATTGGTGTATAAAATTTTTCGCAGACTTCCAATTTTTCTATCAATGCTAATAACACAGTGTAGTTACAAAATCTACCAATTCCAACTTTCGACTTTCTCGATCGCGTGCATGTTGTGCATTCTACACCGGCAAGATGAAGTTTCTTCAGAGCGTGAAATTCAGTCGAATGCAAAACTCCCCGAATTCTCGGCGCTGCGCGCCACGTACGTACGTAAAATTACACATGTTTCGCGCAACATTTTTTCCCTCTCTTCCTTTTTGAACGCAGCGTCGAAAATTTTCTTTCAATTTCGCTAACGGCGCCTCGCCAGCTTTATTGAGCCACTGGATTGATTAAAGGATCTCTCGTTGAAGAACGCAATC